CTGCAAGTCCAAGACACAGGAACGCTCAGTTCAAATGACATGAGTAAATAGGTGCATTGGGTACATTGGGGCTGTTGGTATAAGGACTGGGTCGATAGACAATTGGGAGCGTGCATGGGGCGCGTGGGCTGCTGAGACAATGACTGGGTCGGTACATGCCTGAGAAAACAATTCATTGCCTGGACAGAGGACGAGTTGGTGGTTGCCTGCCTCCCAGATCAGGGGTTGGGAGTGCAATGCTCCGCCGCACTGCAAGGCACGTAAAGGAGATAAAAGGAGTGCATTGGGTACAGAGGGGGCTGCTTGGACAAGGACTAGGTCGGTAGATAAAGGGGAAAGGGAGTCACTTGCAGCTCCAAGGGATGTTGGAGCCCCAGGAGGACACAGAAAAGAACCGCAGTCTGGACGCCATACGATGTTCTGATGGGATGCTGGACCCGGTTTCCAGCAGGTGCCGCTCCTCACCAATAGATGGAGCATCCTCTTGGGTAAGCCCTCAATTCTGACGGTTCTCGTACCACCGCCAGGATAGAGGGATACCGTAAGGGCTTTCTTCCCAAAAAAAAAAAAAAAAAAAAAAAAAAAAAAAGGAGTTTCTACGAACTGTCCTTCAGGAGAGGAAGCAGCAGGAGGCCCTAAAAAAAGAGATGGAGATAGACAGCGGATCCAGGAACAGCTTAAGGCCGAAACTGCGCGCCGCGCAGAAGCCACGAAGGCGGAGTTGTTGGCCTTGCTTGGGCGACAATTCATTGCGAATCGTGATGATGCTAGGCGCGAGGAGGCTCGGATGATGCGAAGGCCTCAGTCGTCTCGAAGGAGGGAGACGCGGGATGAGGAGCTCGGGGAGGTTGACGATATTGACGATGAGATTCGGCGTTTATACACTCTACGTGAGAAGCGCAAATGCGGTAAGACACCTATGGCTGAGTGGGCAGCCTTTCGGCAAACTGCCTTCAATATGGATGGCTCTGTTGCTGATGACGCACGCACTCGTGCTGAGTGTTCCATGCAGGCGGAGGACAGAAGGAAGAAGGTCCCGGCTGGTGGAGGACCTGATGGCATCCTCCATTATATTCTGGAGCAGCGAAGAACGCTGGAGGGACTCCGGCAGGATCAGTTGAAGAAGATATGTGCTGACGAAGGGCTCCACTACTGTACTAAGGGGCCTTCTATCGATAGGATCATCGTGGCGCGGACTCGTCTTGCTTATGAAGGATTCGTCCTTGTCCCAACGCAGGCAGCCACGGCGTCCCCACCGCCTTCACCGGAGAACGCTGAGTCTAATCCAGCATGACTAGCACGCTTCTCAAAATTTCATCTTTGGAGAAACATGCTTGAAGTCATGCAGAAACGGACTGCTGCTTTTGTTTGTGATTTGCCCTCTAGGATCCGATTGTTGTACGATAAATGTTGTACGCTCTGCTTTGCTGCCCTGACTCTGATTGGTGAGATTGTATGGTGTAAGAAGTTCGAAGGGCTGCTTTCTTCCCTCGATTGGTTATCCTGGGATAAGGGTCCTGTTGTGTATCTTCTTACCTCCCCCTGGTGTCGTGCGCAGTATGTGGGTGGCACTACTCGCGGCTTGTACGTTAGGTGGGGGGAGCATGTTCGGACTTGCGTCTCAGGAGGTAAGGGGTCTGTCCTCGTCTGTACAAATGGCTAAGGCGTTTTGGCGTTTGGAAATACGTGGCTCTACCCTTGGTGAATGGCCTGTCTTCTGTTGATGTTGCTGAGCGTGTTGTGATTCGATATGTCGATCCATCTCTGAACTCCAGGCGTGGGAGGAGGGTGGCCGCAAAGACTCGTAGACTGTCGCGTAGACGTAGGCCGATCCCTGGTGTGCCGGATCTGTCTGATTCGGCTATCCCTTGCTTTGTTAAGTTCCGCCTGGACGGCGTTTTTTGGACAGATAGCATTGTTAATTTGCTGCGGACGGCGTATGTTGCTGGGGATCGCTATGTACGGGTTTTTGTCTCACCTGGGAGAAGTTGGGGTGATAGATGGTCCCTCGTGAAACGAATTTTTTGGGTGACTCCGGTTTCCTTGGGTGGACAACATTCCTGCCTTCGTGATTCCCGCAAGTGCTTTGAATCGGGGGGCAATTTCCTGATGGGTCCCTTGCTGATTACGCCAAGTGGTCGGGCGATTCATAAAGGCGAATTGTGGCTTTTGCTTCTGCAGCCCTGGAGGCGTAGGGGTTTGGGGGCAAAATCTGTTGATAGCCCGGTACGATGGTTTAGGGCCACTAGATCCTTCTCTCGTAAGGACACTCGGGTTGCTCTGAAGGCGATTCTAACCTTGGCAATCAAGCGAAAGATAGACTTTGATATCCGTAGGAAGGTTGTCGTGCGAGCCGTGTATGATCATAGACTGCAGTCTAGGTCTGTTATTTCCCTGATGGTCCAAATTATTAACGACTCTGCGTTTCCCTCGTCTGTGCGTGAGCTACTGAAGCGTCGGGTTCGTTTTGTCTGGAAAAAGAATCGTAAGATTGGTGACTTAATTTGGACACAGAATCGTTTCGTTCGGGGGGGGTTTCCTGTGGACTGTCCTTGTGAAAGCGAAGGGGGTTGGAGGCGCTATGGGCTGCATGTTATGACTCGGATCGAGGACATACCTGCTCTTCCCAGCCTTCTCCTTAATTCGCGTAATGTACCCCTGTCTGACGGTGCGATGGGGGTTGGCGACCTCGGGAAGGAGCTGGTGGCGGTATGTAAGGCTCTTCGGTCTTCGTACGTGGTTGACCCTATTCAGCTACGGCACTGTTGGTCGACCGGGGGACCTAAGGATCCTATGCTTAATTCTTGCATGAGGGCATGGATTGTTAGGTTGAGAAGGTTCGTGTGTGTACCTATCGATCGGAATTCCGCGGATACTTTGGTGATATGTCTGGAGCTTTATCGACATTTTTTACGTCTTGCTTTTGATTTTAGTCCTTCCTTCTGGTTAGTTGAGGAATCTCAAGAGGAAATTCTTAGGTATATGAGGAAGTCGTTTGGGCTCTGTAAGCTTGATCGTCTGGGGAGATGGGATCCTAAAGGGTATTTTGGTTCTGATTATGTTCTGCCTAAGCATAAAGACCTCCTGCGTTGGCGCCCCATTTCCCCTACCTTTTCTGAGCCAACAAAGGTGGCCTCGTCAAGGGTCGCTAGAGCACTTAATTGCCTGCTCTTTGCGTTACCAGCTAAATCGAACTTCAACCTGAAATCGGTAGCTATGTTTACCGATGGGCTTCGCAGGATGGATGTTGAGTTGGGGAAGCTTGGTGGTATTACTGATATCTTGTATTGTTCCTTTGATGTAAAGGACAAGTTTGTTTCGCTTCCTCAGGATGACATATGTAATGCTGTGGCCTGGTTGGTTTCTTGGTACCGGCTGAGGGGATACCGCGGTGTGAACGTTGCCCGGCGTGGGAAGGGTGCTACCCTGTCCTTCGGTTCCCATCGGCCCGATTGCATTTTGATTTCATTACGAGAGATGGAGGATATAGTGTCTGTTGATCTGTCTTTCACTTTTGTCTGGTCGGAGGACAGGCTTCTGAAGCAGGTGGTTGGTGTACCTATGGGTAAATCAACTAGTTGTTCCTTGGTTTGTATTCTCTGTGCTTACGCAGAGCATCGATTTCTTTTGTCTCTTGGTAACGATAGGCGCCTGGTTTTTGGTTTCAAAATAGTTGATGACGTGACGATTTTTATTGCGGTCATTGGGAGGGATGGCCGGTTTCGGGCTGCGCGCATTTTGTCTGATTTCAGTTCATGTTATGGCAATCAACTTCGGCTGGAAAGGACCGACGATGGGCTGGAATCTTGGGTTTTTGCTGGGGTTTTGGTGGAACAAATTGGTCTTTCTGTTTGCACTTCAGCCATTGTCAAGAATGCCGATAGTCTGTGGCATCTTGGACGGCTTACATTTGGCTCTTTTCAGGATTTTGATTCCTATTCCTCTAAGCAGGCAAAGGTGGGGGCTATAACTAGTACCCTGTTCCGGGTTTCTGATAAGTTTGGAAGAACGACGGCCTTTCTTGCTGTTCGACGGGAGCTAATCATGCGTAACTATCCTATGAGAATTATCGTTTGGGCCTTTTCTCGATTTGCTGAGAAATCCGGATCTGTGGAAGCAGCAATTCTCGCACGAATGACGTCTTGAGGCATCTTCGTTTTTTTATGCTTTTTGGCCCTACCTGGCTGGTTTTGCTGACGGTTTGGCTGTTTTGCCTTACCCGGGCTTCTTGGCCCGACTTCTACCGGCCTTGTCTTTTTTTGGGGTCGCTGGGCCCTATGATTGTGTGCTTGTTTATCTATGATGGGTCGGTTGGGACCCTACCCCATGCTCCAAGGGTCCCCTGTACTTGCGATTTGGGCCTTTTCGCTGAGCGGCCTGGATCTTTTCGAAAGGGCCGGATGGCTGTTTTGCCTTGCCCGGGCTTCTTGGCCCGACCTCTACCGGCTTCGGCGTTTTTTTGGGGTTGTCGAGCCCTATGCTTGTGTTCCGGGGGTCTCCCGTACTTGCGATTTGGGCCTTTTCGCTAAGCTGCCTGGATCTTTCGGAAAGGGCTGGATGGCTTTTTGAATTCTGGCGGCTTGTGTTTTCCCGCCTAGCTCAGAGTGCTTCCTGACCTCTGTGACCTGACGTACCGATGGTTTTCAAGACACATACCGCTCGGGTCCTCCTATATCTGGATGATAGACGAAGCTTGCTTCCTCTCTTCCTGAGCAATCGCGCTCTGGCGCACCGCTTTGATGATTGACGGGAGGTCGCTCCCTCTGAGCGCGTTCTGTTTGGAGGTCATCTATCGAATGGGCGGCTGTGCCCTCGATGATTGCCTTGTCTTCCTTGCCAATGAGACGACGTTCTGGCGCGCCGTCAGGTTTTATGGTGCTCTGATGCTCTAATGGCGGGACTCTTTCTGTGATTATGAGCCATGAAGCACTGGCGATCGTCTTGTTTTTGGCTGTGTTCGGATGTCTTGTGTTCGTCCTGTGTCTGTTTTTTCGTGTGTCGTCATCTCCTTCTGCGGATCACCTTCCGTGGATATGCGTCTGAGGCGCTGGTTCGACGGGTTGCGTTGTCCCTGTTCTTTCCATTGGATTTTTTACGCTGATCTTGTTTTTGTTCTTCTTCACCAGCATCTTCTTCATCTGCGGTGGCTTGGTCTGTTGATGTGGGTCTGCAGCTTTCGATCGATGGATCGGTTTGATCCCTTTTCGATGGTTTTTCTTCTACTCTCTCACGAGGGGAGTGTGTCCGATGGGAGTGATACACGGTGGGCTGGGATGGATCTCGTCGGGGTAGGATAGAGTATTTAAGGGGGCAAGGCTATGGTATTGGCCTCCTTAGTCGAACTGTGTTCGCTATGTTCAGGGTTCCTCCTGATGACGCTACTGGCGGGGTAGTAGAAACGCGTTGAGGGATGGCCGCAGTGGAGTGTGGTTTGTTTGGTGGATGGAGTCTTCGACTCCTTTGGGTTTGGAAATTGAAGCCTTGTAATCACGCTTATCCTTTGGCTCTAATGCTCCCTTACTTGTGTTCAGTTCGAATTTTTTTGTGTGCGTCCAGAATTGTTCGATATTGGTGTATTTGTCCATTCTGGCTCATGCATGAGGCTGTTTGCCGACAGCTCCTCTTCTCTTCTCTTCTTCCGACTGAAGGATGGCTCAGGGAGGCTTCACCGTTGGATGGAAGAATGATGTTCCGGTGCCCCCAGGAATCATCATATTAGCCTCCTATGTTTCTTTTCCCTATTCTTCCTATCGTCCATGATGCTCCAGTGCCCCCCGGAGTCATCGTTTTACCTGCCTACATTCCCATTTTCCCGACTCTTTCCTCTGTCCACTCCACAAGCTGAAGCCGGGTAATGGTGCCGGCAGTATGCAAAAAATGCTCTATTTGGGACGCTGGACCCTATTTCCAGCAAGCGTCTGCTATTGCAGGTTGGTTTTATCAACCCCGATAGCAGCCCACTGGGTGGCTGTTTTTCCAAAAAGAAGATTGGAAAAAAAAAAAAAAAACAGGTTGGCCCTGTTGGTCCCGGCGACTCAGGGCCCTGCCTTCCCATGGAAACCGCTGCCATCCACCCCCCTTCTCCCTACCCCCCCACCAGCAACCCCACTTGAAACTCTGCATGAATTGATGTTTGAATATGTTCCATTGTCACAGTGGCAATATGCCCTGAAAAATGGATATAGATCATGTCAGAAAGCTGTTCCTTCAGCAGAGATAATTGTAAATAGGTGGGAAAGGGCCCCTTCACTCCAGGGGCCAAGTCCCACATACACGGTTCAATTAGTTCAAGTCGAACTAGTCCAACCCGTGTGACCCCACACGATGTTAGAGATGCATGTGGAGCACTGCATCTAGCGGTTGTTTTTAGGTAGCAAAAATGAAAAGACTTTTGTTTCTTTTTTTTGGTTCAAGAAAAGTGC